TATTTAAAGTTCCAGAACATGGACATGAAATATTTAATACATAAAATCAGGAAGTCAGACACATTCGGGCATTTTCTGTTGTTTACCATTTTCATTACGACATTTTCTTAATTATACTGGTACATAAAATAATACAGAGATTATTCAGCGTCAGAATATTTACAAACCTGTCTCCTATATCACATGCTACCAGACCATTGAGTGCTCTGTATTCATTTGCATTAGGTATGTTACACATTTTCTGTAATTTTAAGAAGAATTGGTTTAACATTTGGTTTCAATCACCATTACACACAAGTCTGTTAGAAATACGTGTTATGTGTTATTTATATTTCATGGACAGATTCCTAATATTCCATAACGCATTTTGGCCATTATATATGTCACCTTTGGTATTTATTTTATATCGGCGGTGGTCGCAAATGTTAACCATATTGTATAAACATAACATAGTGTTGTAATCTACGTGATTGGTCAATACACACCAGATGGCGTGTTGTAGCTATAGAATTAATTAATGTATTTAACTGTACACGATTGTGTATTTTGGCACTTTGCCAGAGGTTGTTGTTGTACGTTAGTCGCCCTCTGTTTGAATCGACCGCGGTAATATTCACTATAAGTTAAGTCACAGTCAAAACTCTGGTTTACAGTCATTGACAAACAGCTCTGAGGTGTGGAGCACGCTTTGGAAACATGGTATCGTGGTGTCAACGAAGACTACTACTCGAGCACCAAGTAGAAGCTGACGTGTACATTATGTTACCAGTTTAGTCTGGTCTGTGCAATGTCGTCGCTTGATTGATAGTTGTGCAGAACAATTATTTGTATTTTTGGGAGTTTATTGGAACCAGTAGCTATCGTTTGTTTTGTATGCTAGTAATATTGTTATTGTTATAGTTAGTTGCATTTAATATTGTTTTGTTGTTGTGTCGACCACTCATTATTGTATAGAATTTCTCTGCAATTTCTCCCTATTCAGTCAGGTATAGCCGAGTTAGGATTCTGACAATTTTATGAACTGAATGGGATTTGTATTTGGTAATGTGTTTAGATTGTGTTTGTATTAACATGTTATTGTGGACACTCAATTAAAATGGTTTCGTTACATTTAATCGTATACTAGTGTATGATTAATGATGAGGCAGTAGGACGAAGGTAGGACTGAGCCTGGTGACAATATATTATTACGTTGTACTACTAAGTAAAAGTATTCCTGTAATATTTTTATATACGTTACCCTTATTATTTGTTTTTCCTCATGTACTGAACAGAGAATGATTGACAGCTCATGCAACGTCACAAAACAACCAGCTAGTCACATATTCGGCGGACACGTCTTGCGACATTGACAGAATGACAGAAGTTCATGTTTTAAACATCCCGATTGCAATTAATTGACTTCGACGATGACAGGAAAAATATTCGATACTGCAGTGATAATAAATATCTTTGACATTTACTAATCTTGGTCTCCGGTTTAATATCTGCTGATCACGAGCACGAAAAAAAAAACAGCGAAACAAAAACATCGGCGTTTGCCGATTTAGTATACTGACAGATTAGGCTCGAGGACTGTCGACAGTCAACCTAAATGTGATGATTGCAGATAACCAAACGTATGCTTAAAATGTTGATGTTTGGCTTATGATGGAGAGAATAAAAATAAAAAAAATGTAAAAATAGATTTATGTTCATACCAGTCAGGATAATATACTGTGACGTAAAATACGGTGTGGGGCTACTTTGTGGGCTACTTAGTATTCAGGAGCTGGGAGCTTATTTTCACTACAGGTCTAATGATAGACATCTCTGGTAGCGTGCTTATCTTCTATCTTCAGCTCGTCCGTTGTCACGGGGTGGGGATCGTTTAGTGAAAGCATATCACCACAACTGAGGCAGTGCAGGGAAGGAATATAGCGATGACGAATACAATAAATCAAAACAACACACTATATAAGGTTTCCCTCCTCACTTTAATAAATACATGGGATGCTAGTCACTGGAACCAGCAAGGAACGGGGATATACAATAAACAAATAAACTTAGGACCTGATCGATGTTGTAGGGAACACTCCACTCTCTGGTGAACAGCAGTGTACAATGTTGAGTTCCTTCGTATCTGGCACACTGTCGAAGCAGCTGCACTAAAATTTCAATTGTGTCCAGGGAGTATAGGCAACTGGACTGCTATCTGCTGCTACTAGTAGCACCGGTTCAACAGGAGCCATTCGGGCAGTGAGCGTCAGCATGAATTACTGCAAAGCACGTCTGCATATGTACCCCTGTATAGGGTACAGCTCACTGGAATCAGGAATCAGCATCAGTGTAAATCAGTGTAAAGACTGATTTGTCTGATCACCACTCACCTTAGGTTGAATTCAGATAGCCCGTGCCTGGGTCTCCATTTCTGTGTCCACCATCCCGGTGTCCACTATCCCTTTTTCCTTTATTCTTGTGTCCGTCATGCAAGTGGGAGTATTCTGCAATTCACTGCAATATTTCCGGCCATGGAAACCACAGCGCTATGTTACCCCTGCCAACAACATTTCCCAACCCGTCAGCCTTCCCGTGGATTTTCCATGACCTATAAATTTATACTCGTATTCCCCGAAGACTTCAATCCACCTGGCGAGTTTCCCTTCTGGACACTTAAAATCAATCACCTTAGAGCTGCATGATCAGTCTTGCTGGTGAATTCCCTGCCGTACAAGTACTGCCTGTAATATCTCACGATAATCGCCATTACCAGTAATTCTTTCCTTGTAACGCAATAATTCCTTTCTGCTTTACTAAGGGGTTGGTCGTGATGCATTTCCAGCATATCTGCTACAAACATTCTCAATTTGATATTGAATGTGACAAATGTAATCAAATGTGATCAATAAAATTTTTCAACTGTAAACAATGCTAATTGAGACCAATACAAGACTATATTAAATAAATAGTACATTTCAGTTGCCCATGTTTTGTTGATAACAGTTTCAACATGGTGACATGATACCAAATCAGAGATAAGTATTACCGTTTGGACCTTAATGGATATGGTTAAAACTAACGTATTAAAACGAGCATTGATTCAAACTTGTGTTCATAGAAAAAACATTCAATTTGTTCAAATGCACAAGTCTGGTGAATGTAACATCTTAAACACCATCAGTGTCATGTTTTTGTTTGCAACACCTAATTTTATTGAATGTTTTCCAGTAACGAATAAATCAATTAAACATAGAATTACCTTGTTTTTCATGTTTTTGTAAATAATACATTTAAACATATATGTGAGCTGCCAGAACGTTTCCACATGTTTCAGTATATCTGCGACTTTGATTTATTTGTATTTTTACATTTGAGCTAAATAACCTATTGTGAGTGCGGTTGGCTGTGTAAGATTTGATCAAGTTTAACAGCAAAAATTTTAAAAATCGTAGGCATTTGTTTTGTTTTAAGTTGGTCAACAATTAGTTTTAAAATATCAGACACGAACTTCATTTCAATTGAAAGTTCCTTCGGTATAATTGCTAAATACTACTGAAAACATTCGAGTCAATATTTATAAGAATATATTAACGATAAATGCTGTTTGGCTTGCATTTTAATACATAATCTCACCAGCCGTTATACACGTCCATAACATATTCAAACTGTTTCCAATGACATCATCGGTAGAAACACGTATTACATAAAACCATTTGACCCTATGTTATAGTCCCAAACTATATATGACAAATTAATATTTTTGATATATCAGCTCCGGTGTGTGAAAAGGTATGTTCATCATGTCACATGATATTGTGTAGCTAATATTATTTCCTATGCTTTCGTGGATTTCTTTTGAATCACCAACCATTATAATGGCTGTTTTATTTTATTTTTGTCACAATAAAACACTTTTAATACTTTCGGAAACAAATCTTCTTCAGTTACTGCAATATAGTTTTGAATGTTGTGAAGTGACAAGGCACCACCGGGTTAATTTAGTCAACCTGTAGTTGCTTTACTCTATTGTGCTTGTTGTATGGTGAGATTCGTATTGATGTTATTATATTAAGTCGACAGTGTGAGCTGTCCCTGGAATACATGTGTTAGCCGAATTCTTGGGTCTACTGATTCATTCCCTGACTGTATGTACATACCAACTTTCTACTCCGTACGTGAGGCAGCCTCTGTGATTGTGAGGAGGAAGACAACTGCTGGTTTCCTGCTGAGATTTTGTAGATTGATGAACGGTAGTTTCATCATCTGCCTCGCCCCGTCGGAGTCCCATGAACGCCAGAGGGCGAGGGTGGCATTGTGATTAATGCAACTAAAACTTATCACTGTGAAAGTATTAGTACTAAAACGTTTTCTAACAGGAATATTAATGTCGAGGAATCATACTATTATTGACAGTACAATTCAAGTTTACATACATTTTCGATATTTTACCTTTACTGTTTTATCATCCTAGGCAAGTTCCCAAACGTTTCACCAGGGTCACTAATGTGTGCTACTTTATTTGGGGGAGGGGATGACTTACACTGATTTATAATAATTAATAACCAAAGTACTGCAACACAAGATTCATTAGTGTGAACTAAGGCGCACTACATTTTTCGGATCCATCGTAGTCCGTGATTATAATTCTTTTCAATAGCACAAAACATACACCTAATGAACCAAGAAATTTACTATGGTGGACAAATTCACCAGTTATTTCACACCAAGGCATAAAGAACTAACGATTTTTATGCTTTTTGATAGTTTTTCCAAGTTTTGGCGGCCATCTTGAAAAAATGGCCACCATATTGAAATTTTATGGCTAGCACTTTTTCCTGACAGAGTGACATCTAACGTAAGTTCACACCAAATTTCATGCTTGTATCACCAAATGAACGATTCTACCAAAAAATTATGAAACTATGCAAGTATGCAAAACATGAACAATTGAGTTGTCAACAAATTGGTCAGTGAACACTGATCCGTTGTCTGTTTTTAAATTATACTTTTTACTCTTTCAGCATCCATCATGATAATAACATTTGTATTCGGGCTTAACATGTTGATAGTTATATCGTGCGGTCAGCACCCTGGAAATCCCCCTGATGGCTCATGTTTATATTGTGAAGATGTATTCTTTGATAATGGGGAATGGAATGGTAATTGCGACGAGGAGGTGTCTTGTGCAGATTTCCCAGAAGGTGGAGAAAATATTGCAGCACTAAAAAAAAGGAGTTTGAAATATCATATTACCTTGGGGATTTAGCATTCCTACCTGGAACACGCACATGTTCATACGTTGCAATAGAGGCATCAAAAGTCAACTCCATTGCAGCTGAAGACATAGTAAGTAAATTGAAATGTAAGAAACCAGCTGAACAGTCAAAAGTATTACTGTATCAAAAGTTGTAGTCCTGATGGACAAGAATGAAAATAAAACAACTAGGTGAATACATTATTATTATCACAACAGCACGCATTATAAGAAGATAAATGTAGTATTCCAGTGTGTGCATACTGTCTTGACTAAACTACTGTAAATTATCATGAGTACAAAACAGCGTTCCATTACATGCATTATTTGCCTGTCAAAATAGACCAATCGTGTCAGTATACCTTTACACCGACTTAACTGTTGACTTTCACATACAGTACACGAGTAAAACATGCATACACTCCAGCTGAGGATTATAATTTATTTGTGTAGTTTAAATGCAGTTTCCTAACTCATTGACTGTTGTTTTAGGCGCTTGGAGCTTGAGTGAATAATAGTGACATTAAAATGATTTTTTTGCATTTAATTACATGGTATTATATATCATGAAAGCGAACATCTGTAATGTAGTGGGAAAATGTTGAGCTTGACAGTCTTAATATATTTATAAATTGTGTCATTTAATAGGGGAAAGGGACTCCTCAGAAAACTGACAATTGTCAATTGTGTGATGTCAGCTTTCGTGAAGATGACTGGGTGACTATCAACTGTCGTGTTTTGGTGAGTATATGTTTATAATGTAATATCAAAAATGTTTGCACAGTATTTAATGATTTAAAAACTTCAGTAGTTCAGAATTTCATGAAAGTAGGAATTTATTGTTTTCTGAAAAGAAAATATTTAGTTTCCCTTGTTTTGTTTTGCTTTGTTTTGATGCAAAGTTAATGTTTAAATTCTTCTGCAGACGTGCCCAGTAGTCCTGGCAGATCACATTGAGTTTGGACCAGACGCCACTGAGGAAAACAAAATACGTAATAGAATATGTAAAAATCACAAGAATGGTGAAATGAATCACTATACATGTAAATATCAACCGGAAAATGAAGATCTGGTTAGTGGTGTGATCGCAGATAGTTAGACAATTAAAAATATGTACATACATTCGAATTAGCTCTGACAGCTCAACAAACAGGATTACGGTAGAACACACGAGTTGTATTTTCTAGTCAATTCTATAGCCCTAATGTCAACCCTGAGTGGTTGTGTCTTAGCATGCATGGCCATAAATGTAATCATAATTTGTTAGTAGCTCTGAATAAATGATGTACTCGGCAATATGTTATAAGCTTTATTATTTATTCATAATAAATATTCATGTGATCTTCAGCCATCAGGCTTGTATTTCCTAAACAAACGAGCAAGAATTATCTTTTGATTCATATGTGCACTTGATTCTATGCATTATGATTCTATGCATTACGAGTATTTACTTAAACCAATTGCCACTGGCCATGTGGTTAATGATCAAGACGAATTATCCGTGTCAACACGTGGACTAGGCATACATAGTATAAAATAATTCTATAACCCCAATAGTTTTAACATACCCTATGACAAGCTCCAAAAAAAATCGGACACAATAAAAGGCAAACATTTCTTTAATACCAAAGTAGTGCAAGTATAGTACTAACT